GACATTTCATGTCTTGTTTATGTCCGAACCCTTGAAACAATAGCAAAATAAAGGGTTGGGCAACTACTCTTTTGTTTAGGCTTGGGAAGAACAATGCAAGCTTTTTACAAATAATTTCAGCTGGATGTACGTTGGTGGGCGGGTGTTGAGAGTAACTAGGCGGTCGTAAAACACCTTGTGGAGAACACTGACAAAAAATTTCTGGGTAAAGGTATAAAAATTTGTTGCGAAAATGTGTCGCTGCTGGAAAAATAGATAAATTAACTACATTTGTACCCGATTTAAAAAGTTATGTGAAAAAGCTCAAATTCTGGAATAAACAACTAAGTTGTTAAAAAACACATAGCACTGACGATGTCACAAAAATTAAGTAATCAGCATTAATCCTAACACTCTAGCCCCTCAATGTAATTCAATATACTCTGATGTGCTCCTCCAAATAACTGTAAGTGACCCAAATTGTGGAGGGCAGGATTAGGATTAGAGTTATGGGTGAGGGGACCCTAAGGAACTCTCAACCAAAATTGTTGTTCTATATTATTCAGGTGGTACTTTTAAAGTAGTCTCATCAGAAGCAACCAAACTTTGTTTGATGTTCTCACCACCATTACCAACGGTATTAGAAAGTCAGTGTCTTCTACAGAAAGTAGAAATGGCTATATTGACAATGCTGACAGTGTATTACGGTTTACCCAAGGATCAAGGTAATAAGACATACAATGAATTCATTTGGTGGTTACAATGTAGTCGTGGGTAATCTAAGATCAAAAGATGAATGCAAAGGGACATGTGTACATGGACACTATAAATAAATTATACACACTATGAACTATGACCAAACTTGTAGTTGTTGTGTTTTGGATTTCCCGTGAAGTGAAGGGACAGCATCCAATACCTTCAACACTTTTATCACTATGTTGCTGTACATTACACAGACTACATTACACCTGCTTTTGAATTCCTTCATTTATTTGTATTTTTTTTTTTTACTTCTTTAAATTGTTATTTAAATGATCAGTATGAGTAACTTCCATATGTTCACTATCAAACTTATATACATCTATATAGTTAATATGTATACATTATGATGATCTCCACCCTATGCTGTGATCTCCCCACCCTATGTTGTGTTCTCCCCACCCTATGTTGTGTTCTCCCCACCCTATGCTGTGATCTCCCCACCCTATGCTGTGTTCTCCCCACCCTATGCTATGTTCTCCCCACCATATGCTGTATTCTCCCCACCCTATGCTGTGATCTCCCCACCCTATGCTGTGTTCTCCCCACCCTATGCTGTGATCTCCCCACCCTATGTTGTGTTCTCCCCACCCTATGCTGTGATCTCCCCACCATATGCTGTGTTCTCCCCACCATGTGCTGTGATCTCCCCACCCTATGCTGTGATCTCCCCACCCTATGCTGTGTTCTCCCCATTCTATGCTGTGTTCTCCCCACCCTATGATGTGTTCTCCCCACCCTATGCTGTGTTCTCCCCACCCTATGCTGTGATCTCCCCACCCTATATAGGCATCTTCCAATCTTATACTGTGAATTGGCATTTACGAAACCTTTCATATACAGGGCAAGTCATGTGTAGTTTTACTATGTTTTTATTCACTAGCTTGCTTGTAGATGCACACTTTGCTTTTAGAAACTTTCCAAAAACTGGTCGCTTTGTTATTTGCTGTTTTCTGAGACTCCCACACACACATTAATGAACTGCCACAATATGAAAACAAATTCTCCTGTTCCTGGGAACTACATGTAAACTCACTGTATTTCATAGTTTTCCTTTTTCTCATTTCTTTCCAGGGATCACACTTAGGAAATTTACAAAGGCCACAGTGATTGGGACTATTGAAAGTCTGCACACTTTAGTGAAAACTGTAAAAACAGAAAAGTCTAAAGGGTAAGAATGATGGACAGATGAACACTGCCCTCAATACCTGGATTACAACATCACTAAATATGTCATTTAATGTTAGATTGTTGAGAAAGGAAAGCAGTTAATTTGTATTTAGCAGTGACTTGCTGATTCCTATATGTTGGTTATGTGCTTATCAAGAATAGTTTCAGATGATACATTATACTTTTATCTCTTTAAGGTCTAAAGCTCAACTCCAGTCTACAGGTGAAGTTTGGCAATGCTGCGAATGTTTTGATGATATACCAAAGAATGACAAGGATGCTGTGCTGAGAGTAATCAACACATCGTCTAACCTTGTGGACGATGTTATTGAAGAAGTACAAGAGGTAACCTTTTTGCGGACTCGCCCTGCTCTTCTTCTTATCATACCAGGGTTCTCCCCAGGGCTTTTTAGCGCCGGGGTTCACGGCGCTATACTTGTGAATCTCGGCGCTTTATTTGGGACCTCGGTGCTATGTGTTCCCACCTCAGCGCTTGATTTTCATATTTGACATGCCAATATCAGATGTGCAAAAGCTTTGTTCGCCATGCTGGCCGGCCCGACCATGAAATTAGCACCTCTTTGTTTATAGGTGAATACTTTGTGCAATAGACACAGTCTTTAGATTGAAGGCTAAAATATAATATGGTCAAAGCGGAGTTCACGATCAGTTTACACTACTCAATAAAAAAACAACGTGTTCATTGCGTGATTTGGTAAAATACATTCGAACTAGTATTATCATCGCGAATCATGTAAAAACTCTTCTTTCAAGATCTATTTTGCCTTTTAAAAATTGCAAATCACCTCTTTCGAAAGCCATCATGCAGTTTTCAATTGAAATCGATGCCAACACATCGTGCTACGAAATCGCTTAACTTCCGCAATGTAATTTTTATGATCACTATCATTCGGAAAACTTCGGATTCTACCGACATTACCATGCGGCATTTTGATTGGTTAATGGCATTTTTGACCCATCCGGTCAAAGGACACATGCTAATATTTCACAAACATCATGGCGGGTCTGTTTTTAGCTCTGCTGTCGACTTTGTCAAGCGAAGCTTATCATATGAGTGATTGTCCGGTGTCGTCGTCCGGTGTCTGTCGTCCGTGTCAATGTTTTACTTTTTCGACTTCTTCTTGAAAACTACAAGCCTGAATGCTTTGATACTTGGTGAATATGTACCTTGGGTAGACCTCTCTCAGATTTATTCATTTCATGATCATATCTTCAATTCTCTAATTTTGGTGAATATTTTTGTCATTTTTGGTAAAAAGTGATATTTTCGACTTCTTGTTAAAAACCGCAAGTCCAATTGCTTTGATAATACATATATAGGTACTACATGTGTATCTCTCTCAGATTTGTTCATTTTGTAATGATATCTTCAATTCTCTAATTTTGGTGAATATTTTTGTCATTTTTGGTAAAAAGTGATATTTTCGACTTCTTGTTAAAAACCGCAAGTCCAATTGCTTTGATAATACATATATAGGTACTACATGTGTATCTCTCTCAGATTTTTTCATTTTGTAATGATATCTTCAATTCTCTAATTTTGGTGAATATTTTTGTCATTTTTAGCTCCGCTGTCGACTTTGTCGAGCGGAGCTTATCATATGAGTGATTGTCCGTCGGCGTCCGTCATCGTCCGTGTCAATGTTTTACTTTTTTGACTTCTTCTTGAAAACTACAAGCCTGAATGTTTTGATACTTAGTGTATATGTACCTTGGGTAGACCTCTCTCAGATTTGTTCATTTCATGATCATATCTTCAATTCTCTAATTTTGGTGAATATTTTTGTCATTTTTGGTAAAAAGTGATATTTTCAACTTCTTGTTAAAAACCGCAAGTCCAATTGCTTTGATATAACATATATAGGTACTACATGTGGACCTCTCTCAGTTTTGTTCATTTTGTAATGATATCTTTAATTCTCTAATTTTGGTAAATATTTTTTTCATTTTTGGTAAAAAGTGATATTTTCGACATCTTGTTAAAAACGACATGTCCAATTGCTTTGATATTACATATATAGATACTACATATGGACTACTCTCAAATTTGTTCATTTCATGATGATATCTTCAATTTTCTAATTTTGGTGAATATTTTTGTCATTTTTGGTAAAAAGTGATATTTTCAACTTCTTGTTAAAAACCGCAAGTCCAATTGCTTTGATATTACATATATAGGTACTACTTGTGGACCTCTCTCAGATTTGTTCATTTTGTAATGATATCTTTAATTCTCTTATTTTGGTAAATATTTTTGTCATTTTTGGTAAAAAGTGATATTTTCGACTTCTTGTTAAAAACGCTAGTCCAATTGCTTTGATATTACATATATAGATACTACATATGGACCACTCTAAAATTTGTTCATTTCATGATGATATCTTCAATTTTCTAATTTTGATGAATATTTTTGTCATTTTTGGTAAAAAGTGATATTTTCTTCTTGTTAAAAACCACAATCATTTATGGTTAAAAATTATATTTTTGAATTCTTGTTGAAAACAGCAAGTCCCATTGCATTGATACTATGCATATTGTTAATTCTCTAATGATATCTTCTGTTCTTTAATTGAAATGTGCATTGCTAACAGCGGAGCTATCTCAGCCGAGAGGCTGCTTGTTTTTACTGAAGCGATCAAGTGATCAAAAATAATCGCTCCCGATAAAAATAAGTCGGATTTTACTTACATTTCATATAAAAAAAAATGAAGTAACATTTTTTGAGGAAATATTGGTATAACCGGTGTATAACATCGCCAAGTAAGTTATGTCATGTCACGTCGTAACTTTGATGATCGTTTTGAAGTGTTATTTGTTCGCTCATTACTGTAAATGTAAACATTTTAGAAGTTGATGGTACGAATAATAAATTACAACAATACGCCAATTAATTACGTGCTCGATTTTTTGAAGGAGAATGTTTTTGGAGTGAATAAAATTATAAGATTCGTGAACATAACTCTGGCTTAACGTTTTGAATGCGTTTCATTCAACGTTTAAAAATACAATTAAATTGCAACAATAATTTATTTGTGTTTGTTTTTAGTCTGCAGCATTTGTATTTCGAGAATGTTTCAAACTCTTCTAAATTGTGAAACATAATGTGTTGATTCCATTAAAAAAAGTATTTCCACTGTGACTGAGCTCACTAATATTCATAATTGTAAATGAGTTCTGTTAATCAATGAAGGAAAGGTATGTAAATGATATGCAAATTATTATGCAAATTAGCTGTGGCGCTATGCGTTTTTTCTGGGGAGAACCCTGCATACTATAGTATTCATATGCCCATGTGAATGTCATTTACCAAGTACACAAAATAATTATTGCTGGGAAAGGATTGACCAGCTTTTTTTCATGATACAGCAAAATTTCAGTTTGACTCCCTGGCACTAACTGTTGACCTTTCAGTGTAAATTAGCATTGCTGTATGGATACCTTGTCAACAGTGGTGTCTGAATGATCTAACAAGGAATTGTCATTGAATTTGATAGGTTATGACAAATTTGTTTGTATCAAAAAACCCAAATATAAACATTTAATGTTCATTATCATTGTTTCAGGCCCTTCTAGATGAATCAGCTGATGCCTGGGACGACTTAGATGAAATACTGGGACAAGAACACAATAATGAGGATAGTTGGTCAGACAAAGACAGAGAACTACTTGCACCCTGTTTGGGACTAGCCAAAGCTTGCAAGGCATGTCTTAAAAAAATAACAGGTGCCATTCAGAGTCATGGTGACTGTTTAGTAATCGAACACACTGCCGACTTAGATGATATTGGTGATATTGTAGAGAAGGTCAGTCCTCTGTTAGATGAGATGGTGACAGGAATATACCCACCTTTGAAGTATCAGGACATTAGAACACATGTAGGTAGTATTTTTTCACTGCATGCTATTATGGATAAAATTATCGTGGTCTTGTGACTATTATGTGACATATTTGAAGGTATGAATATGGACTCTGATATCATTCACATAAAATTATCATGGTCTTGTGACAATTATGTGACATATTTGAAGGTATGAATATGGACTCTGATACCATTCATATAAAATTATCGTGGTCTTGTGACTATTATGTGACATTTGAGGTAT